AAGGTTGAACGATCTGACGATCTGACAGTGTACAATTCGTTACGCGATCATATTTTTTTTATTATTAATTATTTATTTTTAGAAAATAGAAATTATTTGCATTTGGTATATTATTATTCAATTTAATGATTTTTTTTTTAATTATCAGATCATTTGGAATAAGTTAAATATTAACAAAATATATTATATTGGGCAAGTTATAATGATGATGATGATAATAATAATTTTATTTTTTTTATTACCCATGGCATTACGATTATTGCCACTACTACCATCATTACCATCACCACTACCACCATTACTATCACTACCACCACTACCGCTACTACCCTTTGGAGCTTCGTAACGTCAAGGTTAAACGGATTTTAATTTGATTCAAAAATTTTATTAATATTATTATTATCAATCGTAAGAAAACAACAAAATGAATCCGGTGCAACATTCAATCTTAATATTAATATTAATATCACTATTCTTAATATCCGTTTCTATTTCCATTTTCTATCTTTATTTTTACTGCTATCTCTATTGCTATTGCTAACAATTTCAATTACAAGTTGCAAGTTTTTATTTTTTGGAAAGTGAGAGTAAAATAGAAAAATTTCACTATGTTGACTAAGCTATTATTATTATTCTTTGGGTCATTTTTCAGGACTTGTAAAGCAATAGCAATATTTGGAGATGAAAACACTATACCAAAGCCTGCACCATTAATAACTATGACACCTCTCTACCAGGAACAAAATGTCAACACAAGTATTTATAAAGCGGTCAATATCGCAATTCTATTAGACATCTACACCTCTACCAAGCGGTATAATTTTGTTTAGGCATAAGAATAAAGGAAATAAATATATGCACAATCGTTTGAAATTTAATTTAAAGGTAAATTTATATGATCGAAATTAAGTGGCGCATCTTGAACAGCTTTATGTTTTTTATGTAAAAGAACTTCTTATAATACCTATTCAACTATTTAAATATTAGGTAATGTTTTGTCTTGTTTTTTAACAAGTTGTACATTAAATAACCAAAAACTAAGAGTGACAACATAAAAATGCAATGCTATATTTTTCAAAGGAAAATTTTTAGGCGAAGCTTACTTACTATCATATAAAACTGATTTAGAATACATCTATATCTAGGCACTCTTTCAAATATTTAAATGATAGTATTCAATAGTTGTTGAGTTTCCTGAAACATTAGTAGCAGTTCTTTAATTATTTTTCTTGTTTTACATTAACTAAAATCGCAGAAAGATAATATGGTAAAAATTGAAAAAATTCAGAAGAAATTAAATCATACTTATCATTATTTTACATTATAGAAAGAACGAATGACGTGAGTAGATAAGCAAGTTTTGAGACGAAGGAATTATCTGGCAAAATAAAAATTTAATTAATGTATATGGATAATTAGGAATTATATCAAAGCATAATAATAATAATAGTAAT